TGCCAACAGGAAGAGAGAAAGTAATGGTGCCAGGTCCGACTGCATCCCTTAATGTCCACTTTGGGGGAAGTTGAGAAAGATGAATGTGTGCTTCCATTTAATCCTTGCATTAAGATGGACTTCTCATTTCTCCTCCCTCTCCTTTCTTCTCCACCTCCCCATCCAGGTGTCGGCTACTCCCGATCCGTTCCTCCGACATACCCACCACCCCAGGAGCCACTAAATCAGGGACAATACTTGGTAACTGACGGCATAGCCCAACCGCAGGTCTATGAGTTCACTGAACCGAAGCGTAGCCAGTCACCCTTCTGGCAAAACTTCAGCAGGTTAACGCCATTCAAAAAATAATATATAGAGTGAGGGGGAGAGTTTTAAAATAAAGTTTAAAAAAAATTAAAAAATGAATAAAAATATATTTATAGATGGACCTTTTTTGGAGAAGCACTGTTGAAACTTAACATTATATATATATGAATGATATTTCATATATATATAGATATATAGATATATGAATGAAATTTTGAAGGACCAAAAACATTTTTGTTATACTTGTTTTGGGGGAAAAATAGTATCTGCTGCATTATTTTAGGAAGCACCAAGTATTTTGAATCATGTAACTTTATTTTGGCATCCTTGGAAATGTTGTTAAAATTTGTTCTTGAAATTGTTTTGCTACAGAAATGGTGTTCCAGAATGATTCCTATTTGCCTTGTGCTCTGCCTTTGACAGGTTCCATCCAGGGCCAGTGAGGTGCATATTTGTTTTGAGATTTCATTTACAAAAACGCTCTTCTAAAAGCATCTGGGTGCAGGGAGGGGTGTTTAAACCGCTTCCTCTCCTATATCCCTTCCTCTCCAAGCACCCTGGATGGAGCCTGTCAGAGACCCAGGGAGAGAAGGATCAAATTCTCACTTGTTCCTCTGGAAAGAGCTTGGCTGGAGCAACTACCTCGCCAGCAATGAATGTTCCGGATTGGCTCGATTTGGTTGTTTGGAATGAGCTGCAATTTGTGCCCCCATATTCTTTGGTTCTGATCCAAAGCTCCTTTGTACTGTGCAACTGATACTTGTGTAGCTTTGAATGCGGTTGGTAGAAGAACACCATCTCTGCAGTTCTTCGGCTCTGCAAATTCTGTGAAAAACCGGGATTGCAGCTCAGAAGCACCCAGGCAACTGTATCAGAGTGCGGGTGGGAAGAGATATGATATGAATTTTATTATGCAAGAAAGTTTGCCTTTGGCTGCTGCTGATGCAGCCTTTTAATTGCAATCACCTCCCCTTCTGTGGGACTCCTCCATTTCCCAATCAAACCAATTAAGTTGTCCCCATTTCAGTTACACATTCTTTGGGGATTTGATCCATTTCTTTCCCCTTTTTTGGTAGAGCTCATTGCAAAAGCTTAGATCTTTTCCTGCATAGAATCAAAAAAAAAAATGTATGGAAGTCCACATATGCCAGCTTAAGTGCCAAATGGATTCTCAGAATTCTGGTCCGTTGGCCCATTTCAGTGCTCCTAAGATTGTGGCCAACATCCAAGCACACCACAGGCCAGCAATAACGAGTTCATAGTCTGGGGATCACTGGCTCCATCATCTCAAACCTTGTCCTTTCCAGAAAGGCATGCAGTATTACGGAAGAAGGTTTCATGCTATGTAGCCGAACAAAGCCAACCCCTTTTTTCAAAGGATGCATTTCACAAGCATCCTTCGGATCACAAAATGCCAGGAACTAGAAGATTGAGGGGGTCGAAATGGGACAACTTGCCACAGCCAACTCATCAGGCCAAGTCGTTGCAGGACAACTCAACAATTCAATTTAATTATTTGAAATAATTTAAAAAAAACATTTTATTTTTTGTCATTCACATTTTATTTTGTCCTTTTGGTATCCTTTCTTTAATGATTCTGTTCGACTATTTCTTCGATACTAGTGTAACTCTTGTCCCATGGCGAGTTGTCGCAGCCATTGCTCAACAAACAGACAACACTGCCAAGAAATCCCTAATCTTGAGAGTTTTGCCTCTTAACTCACCTGCTGTGGCCCACATGGATAAAATTACCCAAATATAAACCCACCCATTCCAGGACTCTTAGATCCTAAAATATATGTCGGGAGAGGAGTTGCCCGCAGTCCCATTTTTGTGCCCTGTTAGAATGTACTTTATTTTTTTTAGAAAATCTATTTATGCATAGAATCATAGGGCTGGAAGTCCAACCCCCTCTTGCAGGAGCCTTACATCATCCTTATACCAGTCAAATGGTTCTCCAGTCTATTTTTGAGTGATTTCCCAATGATCCAGTAGCATTGTATTGCCCCAATTATATTGCACTATCTCAGAATAACAGAGTTGGAAGGGACCTTGGAGGTCTTCTAGTCCAACCCCCTGCTCAAGCAGGAGACTCTATATCATTCCAGACCAACACCTGTCCAGTCTCTTCTTAAAAACCTCCCATGATGGAGAACCCAAAACTTCTGAAGGTAAACCCTTCCACTGGTTAATTTTTCTAATTGTTAGGAAATATCTCCTTAGTTCTAGGTTGTTTCCATCCATTGGTTCTTGCCTTGCCTTCTGATGTTTAATCTCCATTAAACACATTTAATTAGACAGGGAGCATCAGGTTACTCCCTGCTTCGAGACCCCCTGAGCCCACTGGTAGAATTTGTGGTGAGATTTCTCATGGTTTTCCAGGGAAATGAGGGGATCGCCACACATAAAGGGGCATTTTATGTCCCCTTTGCTTCATTCTCTTGCTGCCTTCTGCATCCTGGCCACTGAAAATGTGGTTTGTGTGAATTAAAACACCCCCCACAAGTTCCCTAAATATGTATCAAAACAAGTCCAAATTTTTAAATGAGCTAAGGTGGAATTTGCCTTTTATGTCTCTTTTGTAAGCTAACATGGATGATGAGATGCCAGTCGTATTATTTTGGAGTTTGTTCCTTGGTTTCTGTCAGCTAAGAAAATATTCCATCATACATTTTAGCTTCCAAAATGTTACTAGGGGAAACAGAATGAGAAGGAAGATGCTCAGAGGTTGCATTAAGCAAAGCTCTTGTCTCCTTTGCTTAGCTTGAATTGACTTTGTTAACGGAAACCCTTTGAAGAATGAAAGCAAAGTCACCGCACTTCTTTTCATTCCTGAATGGTTACGGTTCCTTTTGTGGATATTCAGGCGCAGCAGGAAAACCTGGCTGCCTCTTTAAACAAGAGGAATCCCCTGGTTCCTGCTGATTTCGTGTTTATGCCAACAAGAGCAAAATTTTGGATAGATTTCTCAGCCAGATAAATGATAAAGGGGCAAACGTTTTATGTCCTGCTTTTAGAATACACACAAGGCAGACCCACACTGAGTTTTCCACAACTCCATTTTTATGACTTCCCTTTGCTTTATTCATTGACCTGTTGAGATGGGAAGACACTTTAAGAATGGAATAGCCTCCATTACTGTAAATAGTAACAAGAACAGAGTTGGAAAGGACTTTAGAGGTCCAACCCCTGCTCTTGCAGGAGATCTATACTATTTCTGATGGCTGTCCAATCTCTTCTTAAAAGCCTCCACTGTTGGGGTACCCACATTTTCCAAAGGCAATTTGTTCCCCTGGTTAATTGTCCTCACTGTCAAGAATTTTCTCCTTAGTTCTAAGTTGCTTCTCTCCTTGGTTACTTTCCATCCTTTGATTCTTGTCCTGCCTTTTGAGTGCTTTGGAAAATAGGTTGACCTCCCTCTTCCTTGTAGCAGCCCTTCAAGTATTGGAAGACTGCTATCTCATCACCCCTACCCTTTCTCTTCACTAGACTAGACGTATCTCAATCCCAATCCAGTTCTTCATATGATTTAGTTTCAGGCCCCCTAATCACTTTTGTCACTCTTCTCTGCACTCTTTCCAACTTCTTTGTTGTATTGGGGTGACCAGAACTGGATGCAGTATTCCAAGTGTGGTCTTACCAAGGCTTTCTAGAGCGGCACTAGTAACCATGCTACAAACAGAGAAAAAGAGAGACAGAGAGGGAAGGAGAGAAAAGAAGAAGTAGAAGAGGGAAAATGCCAGGGAATTGGAAAGAATGCAATGGACGCCTTTGCTTTCTTACTTCTTTGCTTGTTTGTTGGGGGGGGGGGGGGGAGAACCAAGTTAAGCCTTTTCATTTGCTGTTTTATGCCTCAGAGAGTGCATTTTTTATTTTATTATTATTTTTTTAATCAGAAGATGCTTCCTAAAAAATTCAACCCTAGGGGAAAAACAAGGAAACCACCATCGTTCACCTCCTTAGTTCCATCATAAATCAAGACAAACATGGTCTGACCGGCAGCTTCTTTGTAAACTTGCAGCGAAGGGGAAGTGAATGACAAGGGAGGGGAAAGGGCTGGACTGACACATGGGCAAGGTAAGAGAGATGCTGGCATTTGTTCCTGAGCAAAAGGGTCCATGTGCTCCCCTCCCCCAACTCATCTGGTAGGAACACACCTCCTTCCCTCACAAGGTGCTATGAGAACCGAAGCTTAATTCCCCATAAATCCCCGTGATGGGTTGGAGTCCTCCATGACCCAGCATTCTGGACCAGGAGACCTGTTGGGACCAGAAGCGTCTTGTTTCCTTGAAGGCCTACATCTGATTGGACTTGGGGAGGGGACAACGGAGGGGAGAGAAAGAGAGAGAGAGATACTCGGGCCGGTTGATTGAACATTGACTTCTGTGCCAAGCCCAAAGGAAGCTGAAGGCATCTGTTGAAGAAGGACGTTGGCTGTGCCTGAGATACCTCAGTCTAAGCAGAAAGGAAGAATTTTGACACTTTAAATACAGGGATGTGACCCTCCATCTGTAGACTGATGAGATGTTTTCCCTTGACTGCAGATACCAAGATTTTCTTTTCGAGATCTCCACTTCCCCGTTCTCTGAAAATTTAAGGCAAACAAAAACAAAGCAAGAATCCAAAACTAGGTGCATCTAACAGTTGTAAATAGACAATAAATAGAGGAGAGAGAGAAAAAACAAACAAAGAGAAAAACCATATATTTGAAATTTGTTTCAGTTTTTGGATGGACAGTAGCTGTCCTTTTCAGTGTTATTGATAGTACACTTGTGATCCTTTGGGATTCTGATTTTGTTCTCTTTTGATGCTTACTTTTTCATCGCGGCTACATTTCAGGGAACATGTATATTTAGTAGCTATTGTAAGTTCTGCATGGCACCACCAGGCTCTTTTCTTTTTCCTGGAGAAGAATAAAGAATGAGCTTTTGGGGACATAACAGTCGTTGCACTTGGAATGGAGGAACATATGCCAGGGAATGCGAGCGGGGGAGGGGAGGAAATGCTTCATTTGGGGCTGGACATTTTCTACAGGGGAGGCTCTACCTGTCTAAGCAAAGGATTTCGGCAAACCAGCTAATTCTCAGTTGCCAGTTCTATTCTTTTCTTTTTATTGGATTGTTTGACCCTGTCAAACAAATGTCGGAATTGTGTGCATTAAAAAAAACAAAAACAAATCAAAACAGTGTTTTAAAAAAAAGTGTTGTAAAGACACTGAGCCTTATGAAAAAAATATTTATGGAGTTAAATAAAAAGACCTGAAAAGACATCTCAAGCGTTTCTTCCTAAAATCAGTACAGTGGCCCAGGCGTGTGCGTCTTTATGAATTGGATGGAGGCTAAAGGGTGGGGCTGAATTTTCTGGGTTGAATCATTTCAGAGGGCGGGGATGAAATGACGTTTGTGCTTTTATATGTCTATTGCATTGATGCAATGCAGGGAGTCCTCGACTAAACGTTTCATTTAGTGACCATTCGAAGTTACAACAGCACTGAAAAAGTGACTTACGACCATTTTTCACATTTACAACTGTTGCAACATCCCCATGGCCATGTGATCAACATGTAGAGCCTTGGGAACTGACTCATATTTATGACGTGCCCCGGGGGTCATGTGATCCCCTTTTGTGACCTTCTGACAAAGTCAATGGGGAAGCCAGATTCACTTAATATCTGGAATGATTCACTTAACAACTGTGACAAGAAAGGTCATAAAATGGGGCAAAACTCAATAAATGTCTCATTTAGCAATAGAAATGTTGGGCTCAGATGTGGTTGTAAGTCAAGAACTACTCATATAGTTGCATTGATGCAACATCTATCCATCCCTCTTTGGCTGGACCCCCATTGAGATGATATATTCAAATAAGAGTTCTTAACTCTGGCAATTTTAAGATGTGGGGACTTCAGTTCAGGGCTGGCTGAGGCATTCTGGGAATTGAAGTCCATACATCTTAAAGTTGCCAAAACCCTGCATTGATGGCTGGAAAATGAATGTTAGGTTGCTACCCTTTGGGTGGGAGATCCAAGCAGAGTCCTGCTGTCAGGGTTCCAGCGATTGCCCTAATTAAATCATGAGCCTCGGGCCAAGCTTCAAAAGAAGTAAAAAAGATTTATTAGAAGCAACATGTCGGCATTAACCTAAATGAAGCCAACTCTGGCATACGTAACTTACAATCGCCTGTGACCCTGTTCCCCCCCCCGCGTGTATCATAAATCAGATTCTCCAATAAAGCACGCTCACAGGATGGGTGTCATCAATCACGTTCTCCAATTAAGAATTTTCGTGGGCAGAATATCTGGTAGCCTAACTACAATCTTTGTAAGATAAGCATGGAATGTACTTCTGGTTTTAAACTGCTGTAAACTTCAGATTCCCTCCCTCCTCCCCGCTTTATGGTGACTCTTAAAACAGGCATAGGAATGTTTTAGGACTGATACCTGGTTTGCTATGAACATTGCCAGATTTTTTTTTATGAGTGTTTCCCTTTTGAGTGGGCCACTTTTGCCTGGCTTTGGTGCTATATCTGCTGCCTACCTTCTCTTCCTTTTCTCTTTTCACCTTTTATACTCTGCACATCGTTTCTCTTTATCGCTCTTTGGGATCAAAAATGGCCCACATCATTAGGGGGTTATTTCTGAAGGCATCATGATGATATTTATGAGAGTGTCACATTGCTGTGAAGAAAAATGAGTGTCCCAGCCAATGGGGAGATTAAATGAGATGGGATGGCCTTGATGTCAAGGAAAGAGAAGCAGCAGGCACCCCGAAAGACAGCAAAAAGGGAAAGCTGTTGCAAAACACAGATCATCACAAATGTCGACCGAAATCCATTTCTGTATCGTTTGGTTGCAGCAGGGATACGAAATTGGAGGCTGGTGTGAAGATTAGAATGTATTGATTTAGCTAAAACATTCACAGCCCATTATCAGCTTGAAAACTGCCAGAGAAGCTCAAGGAACAATAACAAGACAATCCCTGTCCTCAGGTTCACACTCTTAAAAACAATTCAACGGTATCCTCTTTTTTTGAAAAAAAAAAATTGCCAGCACGCTTTTCAGATGCATTTTTGCAAAGGATGGATATGCATGTCGAATTCTACATCA